GTACCCAAAGAAACCAAAATTAAAACTATGTTTCACTTTTCAAATTGAAGAACATTGGCCAGGCATGGTGGCTCACATCTGTAATCCCAGCATTTGGGGAAGCCAAGGTGGGCAGGTCACAAGGTCAAAAAATGGAGACCATCCTGGTCAACATGGTGAAACCCCATCTCTACTAAAATTAAAAAAAAAAAAAAATTGCTGGGTGTGGTGGCCGAGTGCCTGTAGTTCCACCTACTTGGGAGGCAGAGGCAGGAGAATCACTTGAACCCAGGAGGCAGAGGTTGCAGTGAGCCACAATTGCATCCCTGCACTCTAGCCGGGGTAACAGAACAAAACTCCATCTAAAAAACAAAACAAAACAAAAAACTGGAGAAGATTGAGAGTAATTTGTGTTGAGAGGAGTTAGATGTTAGATTTAGGGAGTGCTGATGATAATATAGATTAATTCAGTATTTCCAGAAAGCAATTTGATTATTCAATTTTAATGTGCATGCATGTGTTTGATTGTGGGAACCTAGCCTGCAAATGTAATTAGAAAACAGTGTGGCCAATATTTGTCTGCAAGAAACATCATCCTAGGATCATTTAAAATAATGACAATGTTGTAAAAGGCAATTAGTAACAACACAGGATTAATTTTATTATTGAACAGCCATTGAATGGAATATTATGCCATCATTACCATAATTTTTGAGAATTCCTCAGACCCTTGGAAAAAACTCATGATGCAGTCCTCAACACAGAGGCAAACTATTAAACTACATAATAAGTATGTTTGTATATAGAAAGTATAAAAAATACTCCAAAGTGTATTTTTTAGTATTTTTACAGTGAGCATTAGTTACTTTTATAATCTGGGGAGACAAACCATTTAAAACCTGCCCACGAATTTAGAGGAAGGGTGGAGAGACAGCACATAGAAGGCATTCAATTGACCTTTACTGAAATGATTTGATTTAAAATGAAATAAGAAACTTGTCATAGTAGAATATCAAATCTCTGAGCTGGGAGGCTTCTTGCAGGTCACTTGGTCTAGTCAGTCACAGTAAGCAATCTCTAACTTAGCCAATTGACATCGGTAGATTCATTACCTGCAACTGCCTCTTGACTGTGCTGATTTGCTATCTCCCGCAGCAGTTCTGTTGCTGTGTAACATTGCCTGCAGATCCTTCCCCCATTTGGATCTTCATATTGCCTCCTCCATGAGTACTCTTATTTATTTAAAAAACTGTCTACAGGTACTCTTAAAAAAAATCCTAGGGTGTTAATATTTTCAATGTTAAACTACTCTAAAATTGCAAACAATTGAAAAAAACATCTAAGTTTAAGTTTGAGTATTGCTTATAGAAGTAGTGTTGTTTGTTTAAGGGCTTGGTTCTGTAATCAGACTGCCATGAGCAAGTTACTGTTATGAGTTTCCTTGTATGTAAAATGGGGTTAATATCTACTTCATAGGGAAAGATTTTTAAAAATTAAATTTGTTAACAAACATGATATGAAGTCTTGGACTAAAGTAAAAGTTTGATAAATGTTATTTAGAGACATCTGGTTTCAAGACAGAGAAAATATACTTCCCACTCATCTTGATAAATACAGTAAAAAACCTAGGACACTCTATATCTTTAAGTCTTGAGTCTTAAAGACTACAAGAAGAATATGACATTCTCTCTGCATTCAGGTAGATTACAGTGTAATGAAGCAAACATCAGAGTGGAGCAATATTGTAAGTTAAGCAATGTGAAAACTACTATGGTGGAGATACCTACATGGGGCTTTCAAACTACTTGGGAAGGGTGGTGGTCAAGTGAAGGACAGCCACAGAAGTGGAAACTGACTGAATTCAAGGAACTGCAAACTTTGTAATTCAGTACACCTGGAGTTGTGAAGTTGGATGAGTGGAAATGAAACTAAGTAGATTAATGGGTTTTGAGTGTTATCTAGAGTAGGGGTCCCCAACCCTAGGCTCATGGACTGGTATCAGTCCATTGCCGGTTAGGAACTGGGCCACACAGCAGGAGGTGAGCGACAGGAGAGTGAGCAAAGCTTCATCTTTATTTATAGCCACTCCCCATGCACAGATTACTGCCTGAGATCCAACTTCTGTCAGATCAGGGTGGCATTAGATTCTCATAGGAGTGCGAACTCTATTGTGAACTGCGCATGTGAGAGATTTAGGTTGCATGCTCCTTAGCTAATGCCTGATGATGTGTCACTGTCTTCCATCAACCCAAGATGAAACTGTCTAGTTACAGGAAAACAAGCTCAGGGCTCCCACTGATTCTACATGATGGTGAGTTGCATAATTATTTCATTATATGTTACAATGTAGTAATAATAGAAATAAAGTGAACAATAAATGTAATGCACTTGAATCATCCTGAAACCATCCCCTTTTCCCACCCCAGGTCCATGAAAAGATTGTTCTTCATAAAACCAATCCCTGACGCCAAAAAGGCTGGGGACCACTAATCTAGAAATATATAGTTACTATCTTGAACTTTATAGAAACATATTAAATGATTTTGAGCAGCATTTGAAATACTTTCATGGACATAGTAATATTGACATTGAGCAAAGCCATTATAGCAGCATAGGGAGATGGCTTGAGTGAATGGGATCAAGTCTAAAACAGGGAGATTAATTAGGATGTAGGCATTGTAATCAAGGAGAGAACCAAACCATTATAGAGACAATAAAGGCAGATGTGACATTACATATAAATGAATATGGAGAGTGAGGGTACAAATCTGACTTTGGAGTTTCTAATTCAGGCCACTGGATGTAACATATTTCCTTGAAATATAGAAAACAGGAGGAGGAGCAGGTTTGTAGTTACGATGGGGCTTTGGAGATGGAAGTGGGGTGAAATGAGTATAGTATTAGGCATGTTACTCTTTTTAAGTAAAGATGTCTGGCAGACTCTCAGCTATAAGGTATGGAGCTCAGAAAAGAAGGTTAGGGTTGGCGATAAAGGTGGAAGCCGAAACCAGAAGAGTATAGACTTCACGCATGGAGAAACTGTTGTGTGAGCAAAGGGATGCATATGGAAAGTGAGATATTACAGACAATAAAAGATGAAGAAAACAAGATTCCACAAACTTATTGAAAAAGAACTGGCAAAGAAGTAGGAGAAGAATAATGCAAATAAATGACAAAGTGAATTCTGTAGAATTGAGGGAAGCCCCTTTTTTGGGTAAAATGTCATGAACATAATTGACTATTGATCACAAAGAATAGAAGAAGTCATAAAGGAAAAGAGAATGATGTTATCAAGAAGTATTCTAGCAAGTAAATAGTTCCCCATCAGAATCTTTTTTTTTTTTTCAGGAAGAAAGATAGACACAGATAGATTTTTTGAAAAATTCTATAAAACATCTTTCCTTATTTCTACCACAGAATGACAACTTTACATTTTAGTGTGTTAGATACTGATGGCTACAATTATACTGTATAATCAGGAACCAGAAAAATCTCTGTAGCACAAACTATTCAGAGTTTATTTCCATGTGTCTGCAGGTTGTCAAGGCATCAGCTGATCTAGGTTGGGGTGTTTGGGAGCATTGCTTCAATACATGAATCTAGCTGAGGTGGGCTCCCTGCTGCTTTTGGGCTCTGTTTCCACCTGCAGACGTTCATTCTTGGTGCCATGTTGAGGAAGGAGCAGTTATACCCTGGGAGGCTGTTCCTGGAGAAGGTAGTGGTGCAGAAGAGCTAGCCTCCGCTTGCATCGTGCCTGCTGACCTTGCATAAGCCAAAGCAAGTACATGGATGAGTCCCAAATCAAGAGACATAGTTTCCACTCATGGAGGAAGGGTCAAAGCGAAGAGACAAAATACGTTTGCTAGGAATAGAGCATTGGGAAGAGGTACTGTTTTTGAACAAACCTGAGATCAATCACATGGGAAATCAGAATCATGATAGTAATTACTTCTGTGCTAGCTGTAGGTAGTCAAATTCACTATTATTGAAATACATAGGGCCATTTGACCCTGATTAAATGATTCTTCCTCCTGCTGCTTTCTGTGGCTATTATTTTTTAATGCTGCCACTATCTCTGTAGCTACTTTTAATCCACTGCTTCATTTCACACAGGGTTCTTTGAGCAAGTACCTGAAAGTGATACTCAGCTATTTAAAAAGAGCTTTTCTCCTTGCTTCAATATACTTTCCTGTTATTTTGCATTGTTACAGTGTTTGGTAGTCTGACTTTTTAAGAAATGGACCATTACTATACTTGCATATTTTATTCTAATCTCCATTTTACTAAAAACGTGGCATATATACAGCCTTTTCTTTTGGCAAAATGAGTTATATTTCCTTAAACAGTTATTCCATGTATCTACGTGATGTCTGTGTTTTCAAAGGAAAACATTGATCAATTAAGAGATGAAGAGCACTGAATTGCAAAGGTTTATAAAAACAAATATTTCATATGAATGTCCCTTCTGTGTTCAAATTATGAAGCGTTTCAAATGTGCAGAAATATTATCTATTCTTTGTGAAATTGAAGGCATCACATTTAACTGAAATAAAAAATACATACAGCTCTTTCAGACAAGAAAAGAATTTTTCAGCAAGTTGTTCTATTTGTAGCAGGTACCAAAACTTCAGTCACACATCTGCCATTTGTCTTTTCATAATACCTAATGCCTCTCACTACACTTACATACAATTTATTTCATCTATGTAAAAAGGGTGACTTTTGTGATCTATACTCTAGCTTTATTCTAAGCAATAAAATCCACAAAGTCATCAACTGAAAGTGTGAGATACACACACACACACACACACACACACACACACACAGTGGACATCAAAATACATATTAAAATAAAAAAGTACACTGTGTACCATCTTAAATATCTACGTAATTACCTGACATAGAATGCACTAGGAAACATTGTTTTAAGGCCAGCTCTATCAAACAAGAAATATAACTTAGTTAAGTGACAATATATTTTTAAAGCAATCATTCACTTTTACTTTTCAATTATTTTTCAGGTTTGTGGAAGGAATGCTTAACATTTGTTACAATGCCCTTGATCGTCACATTGAAAATGGTAAAGGGGATAAGATTGCCATCATCTATGACAGTCCTGTTACAAACACTAAAGCAACCTTTACCTATAAAGAAGTTCTGGAGCAGGTAATATTATAAACTTTTTATATATATTGGAAGTCATATAGAAATCACTTAAATAGCATACATTCTCATTGTAGAGCCTTGAATTCTCTTAATGAATTGAAACATGTTGCCATGTTTTTCTTTCGATACGTACTGGAAATGAATACAGGTGTGTTAACTCATGTAGACAGTTTTTATATCCTTCAGTTTATGTTTTACAGTGCTAAATGATGCTAATTTAACAGGGAGAGAATGGAAAATTCTGACAATGTGTCAATCTTTCTCTGATTTTTGCTCTTCATTCACATTACCATCACCTTTAGCTGCTCTCCAGATCTTATATTTTTGAAAGAGTCCCCTAACTTCCTTCCCTGTCACCAGACTCTGCTCATGTTAGATGATCACCAGAGTGTTCCTCCTAAGAAACAACATGTTTCTCTCTATGCCACTTAAAAATGTATTTCTTTAAAAATGCTCTTATCCAGAGAGTAAAATCCAGATTGCTGTGGTGTCTAAGACTCTTTGGAATCTGGTCATAGCATTCCTTCCAAGCTTCATTTTCCAAAATTTTTGGCCAGGCACACAACCCTTTTTTTCAGCCTGAATGTTCTGTTTTTCCTTTAGACACTCCCAGGCCTTTGTATATGTTCTTTGAATATGTTTCTTTGAACATATTTCATTCCTTTGGCTTATTTGCTCTTTTGAATTCTTTCTAATTTTTGTAGTTCTTAGGTGGACCATGATATTAAAAGATTAGTTATTTTTCTCTTTTAAAAAAATTAGGGTAGAAAAAGGGTTTCAGAAGTAATTATAAAAAGTATTTGGGAATTGTGAACTGTGGGAAAGTTGTTCAAACTGTGGAACTTTATTTACATATGATTTAAAGAGAGGTAATGGCGTAAGGCAGGGTTTCTCAACTTCGGCACTATCGATATTTTGGATCAGAAAATATTTTGTTGTGGGTGTTGCCATGTACATGGCATGATAGTTAGTAGTATCCCTGCCTCCTGGATGCTGATAACACACCTCCACCTCCCCAAGTTGCAGTGTCTGCACACATTGCTAATGTCCGCTGAGTGGCAAGGTTGCCACTGGTTGAGAAGCAGAAGTTGAGCAGAGTCTGTCATGCTAGGGGTTTGGAAGCATTTGCTACGAAATGAACGCTTTTAAAATTCCATTCTCTCCTTTTGCTTTTTGAACCCATTTAAGGGTTCCATTCCATTTTTAGAAAGTTTCATCAACTCTCTCTGACTCTTTGAAATCATATTCATTTACATCAAGAAGTTATTTCGCCATGCAAGAAATTTCAAGAAAGGCACTCAGACAAAACTATTACCTTTCCAGTCCTGGGTTCTTGCAAATAAGAGAGAAAAGTTTACACCAGCTTGCTTAGGCTGGATATCAGCCTGGTCATAGCAACAAATTTTAACGTCAGCTGATTTAAACATAAAAAAAGAACTTACAAAGAGGGAATACTGAAGAGCTCGGCTTAGAAAAGTGGTACACCCTAAGGGAGAAAGAGCAGTGATGAGGAGTTAAGAAGAATCCACAAATTGTCCAGTAACTTGACTCACTGCCTTGAGTCAATCTTCTAGATTGAAAGAGTAGGAAAATCCATTGTGCTGAACCCCTATTGACTCCAGCGGGGATGGCACCAGGTTTAAGAGGCCAAAGAAGAGAGCCAGGGCCAGCATACAAGACATGGAGTTTTACTGGGGCCTTACATATAGGGGAGAGTCCACTGTTGGCAGGCTGGGCAGAAGAACAGCATGACTTGCCAAAAGCATGCAGTTTCTATAGCATCTTCACGTAGCATGATCACTGTAACAGTCTCCACCTGGCAACTTTCATGTAACCTAAAACAAAGGGCCTCGATCCTGGACTGCAGAGGGCTGAGATATTCCTCAAAAATAAGGAATGGATTTGTGGATTGGCCACTTCTGGATTTGTATTCTTTAGCTCAGTACTCTGAACACAATCAGGTGTGACTGCCATACAGGATCTTTCTCAGGGTATGGTCAAGTCAAGTCATCAGTGTCGGGGCATCTACGATATAGCACCTAGTTGGCCAAACTTAGGTGACTTGCCTAAACAACCAGTCAGGCCAGAGTAATCAGGCAAGAAAAAGAAATAAAGGGTATTTAAATAGGAAAGGAGGAAGTCAAATTGTCTCTATTTGCAGACGACATGATTATATATCGAGAAGACTCCATTCTCTCAGTCCAAAATTTCCTGAAACTGATAAGCAACTTCAGCAAAGTCTCAGGATACAAAATCAATGTGCAAAAATCACAAGCATTCCTATACACCAATAAGAGACTTAATGAGAGCCAAATCAAGAACAAGCTGCCATTCACAATTGTTACAAAGAGAATAAAATAGTAATACAACTAACAAGGAACATAAAGGAACTCTTCAAGGAGAACTACAAACCACTGCTCAACGAAATAAGAGAGGATACAAACAGATGGAGAAACATTCCATGTTCATAGTTAGGAAGAATCAATATCGTGAAAATGGCCATACTGCCCAAAGTAACTTACAGATTCAACACTATCCCCATCAAGGTACCAATGACCTTCTTCACAGAACTGGAAAAAACCACTGTAAACTTCATATGGAACCAAAAGAGAGCCCGCATAGCCAAGTCAATTCTAAGCACAAAGAACACAGTGGGAGGCATCACACTACCAGACTTCAAACTATACTACAAGGCTGGAGTAATCAAAACAGCACGGTACCAGTACCAAAACAGAGATATAGACCAATGGAACAAAACAGAGGCATCAGAGGCAACACAACATATCTACAACCATACAATCTTTGATAAACCTGACAAAAACAAGCAATGGGGAAAGGATTCCCTGTTTTATAAATGGTGTTGGGAAAACTGGCTAGCTATGTGCAGAAAGCAGAAACTGACACCTTACACTAAAATTAAATCTTACACTAAAATTAACTCTGACACTAAAATTACACTTCCTGACACCTTACACTAAAATTAACTCCAGATGAATTAAAGACTTAAACATAAGACCTAACACCATAAAAATCCTAGAAGAAAATCTAGGCAAACCATTCAGGACATAGGTGTAGGCAAGAACCGCATGACCAAAACACCAAAAGCATTGGCAACAAAAGCCAAAATAAACAAACGGGACCTAATCACACTCCTCTGCTTCTGCACAGCAAAGGAAACAGTCATTAGAGTGACTCAGCAACCAACAGAATGGGAAAAAATTTTTGCAGTCTACCATCTGACAAAGGTCTGATATCCAGAATTTACAAAGAATTAAAACAGATTTACAAGAACAAAACAAACAAGCCCATTCAAAAATGGGCAAAGGCTATGAACAGACACTTTACAAAAGAAGACATACATGAGACCAACAAACATATGAAAAAATGCTCATCATCACTGGTCATTAGAAAAATGCAAATCAAAACTACATTGAGATACCATCTCACGCCAGTTAGAATGGCAGTCATTAAAAAATCTGGAGACAACAGATGCTGGAGAGGATGTGGAGAAATAGGAACACTTTTACACTGTTGGTGGGAGTGTAAATTAGTTTGACCATTGTGGAAGACAGTGTGGCAATTCCTCAAGGACCTAGAAATAGAAATTCCATTTGACCCAGCAATCCCATTACTGGGTATATATCCAAAGGATTATAAATCGTTCTATAAGGACACATGCACATGAATGTTCATTGCAGCAGAGTTTACAATAGCAAAGACCTGGAACCAACCCAGATGCCCATCAATGATAGACTGGGCAGGGAAAATGTGGCACATATATGCCATGGAATATTATGCAGCCATCAAAAATGATGAGTTTGTGTCCTTTGTAGGGACATGGATGAACTTGGAAACCATCATTCTCAGCAAACCGACACAAGAACAGAAAATCAAACACCGCATGTTCTGACTCGTAGGCAGGTGTTGAACAGTGAGAACACATGGACACAGGAAGGGGAGCATCACACACTGGGGTCTGTTGGGGGGAAATATGGGAGGGACAGTGGGGGGAGGGGAGTTGGGGGGAGAGAGTATGGGGAGAAATGCCAGATATAGGTAAAGGGGGGGAAGGTAGCAAATCACACTGCCTTGTATGCACCTATGCAACAATCTTGCATGTTCCTCACATGTACCCCAAAACCTAAAATGCAATAAAAACAAAAAAAACAACTCATCAGTGGGGAAGAAATCTCTTGTCCTCTTTTGATTTAATAGTAGGAACTGGCGCCCTGTCTCCCTCTAGGATGCAAACAAGGGGAATTTCAGTCTAATAAGAACGGAGTTCAAATGCTGGGCAGTGCAAGACAAAAAAAAATTATAATGCTGCAAATATGTTGTTTAGTATTGTTTATCAGTTTGTAACTGAAAACTGTATTTTTGGAATTAAGTATTCAGAGACAGAGCTCACATTGGGAGTGGTAAGAAAGGCACTCTGTTACCAAACGAGCTTGTTATTCTTATGAAGCTGTGTTCTATTATAAGAGATAATGTCGATATCTTGAAAACCTATTGTAATATATGTTTTGTTTTAGGATTGCATTTTCAGCTTTTAGAAGAGGTTTAATCTATGATTAAAAATTGTGCCTGTGATTTTGGCATATTGCTGCACTCTCATGACTATACTGGCAAATTTTTATTAGTATACAAATATGTAAGTTTATTTACATTATTGTAAATATAGCATCTATATTCACATATTGAAGTTAGTACATAAACATCAGAGTCAAGGAAAAAGCTTTAGAGAAACATAAAATAAGACGAATTTTTGCCATTCTCATTTTCTGTTGTTGGTTTTCAATTAATTACATAAGTGTATATGACAGTTATACATATATGTTTTGCTTAGAAGCTTTTCTGCTAACTTATCTTGATTTTCTAATATTGAGTGTGGACTTTCAAACCCTTTCAGTGTTTGTGCTGGTTCCCTGGTTTCAGTTTAGCCTGACACCAAAGTACATAAAAGGACTGTTTCTCTCACCTGCCGACAGCCTCTGATTCCC